TTCCGGTAGAATTACAGTGTTTGTGGCGTCGTTTGTAACACAATCGCCGGTGCAATCGCGAACCGCGTTGGTCCTAATGGATCTCGCGATTGCTTATCAGAATCAAGCGAAAACGCATCCGCTGCATTCCTCCTAGTCGGACCAAACCAGTCCACAAATCCCTCGCCTCTTACATACTCGTGTATGAAGCGTAAGAGAACGTTTCTCCTCGCTGAACAAATTAACGTACGAGTAGTCACGCGCGTTATCTGAGATAAGATATTAAATAAGGAACTGCGTTAAGGCGTTGAGAACCAGGATGTACTATACATGCAACTTGATTAGTAAAATTAACATATTCCATTCATAATATAATACTTATATCGTGATTGAGAAAATATTTGATTGCTTAACACTTCTATATATTTTGAGAGAGAGATTTCAGTCCATTGAAATGTGACAGCTTAAAAAGTTGTCACGTTGACAAAAAATGCAGCTTAAAAAAACCGATTCTCTAATAAAAAAGATAAAATATCATTATAAATGCTATCTTCTAATTTTATTAAAAAATTAAAAAATCATGTTCCTAAACCAATATAATTATATAATATTTAATTAATACAATACTAAAATTTTGAAACAAAATGAAATAAGATATAGTTTTATCCTGATGTCTTACTCATGTCAGCTATTAAAATAGCTATTAAAAGCTATTGAAACAATTCTGTTACTCAACTGAATGCAATGGGGATCATTTTGGAATCTAAGTGCACGAGTGCAGTGATGAGTTCACCATCTTTTATTTGTTATCTCGCAAATATTATTATAATATTTGTGAGTTGCAGTACGTTGGACCAACGATTCGCACGATCCGTTAAGGGAACAATAGAAGCCCTTCTCATCGGCCAAACAATGTCAAACGTACGATCGAATCACGTGCACACCATCGCGATCCGATAGGGTACTCCGGCGCGGATACAGTCGGGTGCAATAGCCGTAACTTTTGTGTTCCGGCGCCATCCGTCTTTCGGTCCCTCCCTCGCCAAGCCGGCCCAAGCACGGAGAACGCAAAGCGAGCCGTTCTGCTCGTCGAACCCAAAGAATGCGTTTTTTGACGTGTCGAGAGGTGAATCGGAGGTCGACCCGGCTGGTCTCGGGTCCTGGTCTGTCTTTCGGACCGCGCGACTCATACAAGTGGGAAGACAATGATCGATGCGTTTTTCGTGTGGGAAGTAATTAAGATAGTCAGAAAATGATGGATTAAAAAACAAATGTGTCTATGTGTCAGATAATTTTTAAAAGATATCTCTTGGATACGTGAATATCTTTCTGGTAGAGTTTAAAAGCCAAAGTTTATAATATATGTTTACATGATATATACATATATATTTACAAGATACATAGAAATATTTCTGATTATTATCTTCTCACTAATCTCTCCAGCAGAACAAATAAATCTTAGAGTGCCTTCGCTCAGACTGAATTTTATGTCAATATTACACCAATATTTTTCATCTTCTCATGATTTCTTCGATTTGCTACACGTTAAACAAATTAGCCGGACAGTAGTAAGCAAATACGTGCATTTGTCGTCGTAGTCGGTGTGACATGCAGAGACACGGTAAATGCACGGTAAATGCGCGCGTGAAAGGAACGGAAGGGTCTACACGATATACCCCCCATGGAGTAGTGGTCGGTTCCGATGCTTATACACGCGAAAAATTTGCAACCGAGACAATGGGTTGGGCGTCCCGTCTACGCGAAACACGACTGGCACGAGTTGTGTTCTGGCGCCAATCGAAAGGGGTTGGGAATAAACAGAGAACGGAGGAGATGGGAAAGACACGCGGGCGCCCCATTCAAAATTGAAATATAACCGCCCAGCCAAATATGTATAAGGGCCACGGTGAAATTTATATTCTAGTGAGTATATACGCGTGCACACACGCGCCCATAAGTATGCTGCGCTTAAGTACACGCCAAATGCAGCCGGGAGATTGCAGCGACGACGACGCCGAACAAGAAACGAGACCCGAAGCCCTGATGAAGCAAGAAACTGTTGTGAGCGAGACTAACGTGGGATAATGCACGCGCGGATAGACGAGTGATGGACTCAGAAAAATCATAAACTGCATTTTTTTTTTACAGGCTACAGTCGCAAGCATAACGGGTATCTCAATTTACGAGAGTAATTTGACGTTGAAATAAAACAGCAAAGACTACTGGTCATATTCTTTCTTGTTATTAAATCTTGTTATAAATTAATCAACATTTATCATAAAAAATGATGTTTGTATTATACATGATAATGTTCATGATAATTTGTAGTATAAACAAATTTATAGTAAAATAAGAAATGTAGAGTTTGATAGCAATTGAAATAATCATTAAAGTACACATAATTATTCTCCTTCACTAATCATATTAATGTCTTTTCGATCAAATACTATAATAAGTGATTAAAATATGATAATTGATTATATTTATAAATATAATAATTAATTAAAAAAATAAAAATATATAGTGAAGTTTTATGTACATACATATATGATAAATAATGTTAAATATATATATTTAATATTTTACCATTCAAAAAGTCGTCCAAATAATTATGATCTAATCAATTTCAACAAGTAAATCTAAGATTGCAATCAAATTGCGGAGAAATCGTGCAACATCATCTGATCAATTGATCCACGTCGAATCTAATTCAGAACATTTTCTTCTTGAGGAGTTCGACAAAAGAATACGTTCATACTAAAGAAGCTTGAAGGCTTATATTTCAATTGTCGAATTGGCGGTCGTGTAAGGAGTTGGCCGGGCCGTATCGATTGATAGCGATCAACTATCGATCGATCTTCTCTAGATCGTCCATCAGATAAGCTACGGTACCCAAGTAACCCAGGCACGACAGAGGTTGGTACCAGCAGCGGTGATTTAACGCAAAGATCGATGGTCGATTGCATTCTCGATGGCGTCGAGAGGGCCTCTAAATCACGCTCATCGAGTTTTAGCATACGCAAGGACTCTTTGCTACCGTTCGAGTTGTCGTACAATGGCGTTTGTTTTCCGAAAAGAGAAATGGGCGCAGGCATAAACACAAATAGCACATACATTTAATAAAAAATCACACTTACCCAGATTTAGTAAAAGATTTCTAAAAATAAAAGATTTATGAAAGATTTCACAAAAGCAAATTCTGTCCATTTTTTTAATAATTTTGGTACAATTAAAAAAAATTGTTTTAATAGATTTTAGCATTTTATATACATATATATAAAAGATATAGAAGATAAGAATAAAGTTAATGTCTGCAATATCAGGAAGCTCCGTTTTAAAAAATGCACACAAAAAATTGTAGGAGAAAAAAAATGTCGGTCTGGAGAAACTATCATCAAGTACACTTAAAATTATCACATCTACGAGGTATGCACCATAGGCAAGTATATGCGATTGGGATTGAACGCGGGCGGACATATTAACATAGAATGCTGAAACAAAGCTAGAAGAAAGGTACGGGTCTGCGACATGCATTAAACATATGCCATATAATAGCCGCGCAATTCTGAATTATACATCCGTAGCGAAGATAGCCGACTTGAGTGTCCGCGGAATTGTTTCACTGAGCTTGTTTCTTTGGCGATAACCGAAGCCGTCTCGATGTGCGATAACGATACTCGGTGCATTGCACGAGAGAGTTCTGAGAGTTATGAGATATTTCTTAGCGCGAAAGAGATTAGATCGTAGTTGCTAAGTCACAGACGATTCGAAAAACCGATTGCGGCACGATAAGTGTGTCGCGTCGCAATCGTTTTGTGTCGCAATCTTGCTAGTCTTACCTAAAACGATCATAACGTGTCTCATAAAGTAATTTTGTTTTACAAAATCAAACAATCTTTCATCGACTTTCAAGTATTAAGTAAAGCTAAAACTGCAAGTTGATACTTATTTGAATTTCTTTACAAAACTTTTCTGTACAAAAATACACACAAAAACTTTCTGTTCTGAAGTTTCGTAAAAAAGAAAGATACAGCATTAAATAAAAATATCTTCTCTACAAGAGATCTTCAATTTTTCTCAAATTTTAGATATGTCGCTGATAAAAGATATACAATTTATATGATATTCTGAATGTAAACTTGTGCACCATTTCTGGTACATGTCTAAATATTCTTGCTACAAAGAGGAAGAATAAAATATGTGGCCACAATTTAGTTTTTGTATCAAAATTTTTAGATAAAGTAAAAACTATCATTGTATTGAGAGAGAGAGAGAGAAAGAGAGAGAGACAGGTAAAAGTTGCAGTAGCTACCAATTTGTCGATGGTTACTGCCGATATTTATAGCACCACCGTTTAGATGAAGTAGACATATCAACGCATGGGGATTGTGCAGGTGTAACAAACATCCTACATGCAGAGGCAGGCCTACCCGGAGATGTATCTCGAAATAAAAAGCGAGCAAAAGATGCTCGAGACGCCTACGGTCTCTGGCCCATCGGACCCGGCGATCTGCCGGAGAATCGAGCATTGGACAAGACAATCGTACACGAGAGAGAGAGAGAGAGAGAGAGAGAGAGAGAGAGAGAGAGAGAGAGAGAAAGAGAAAGCTCCCGTTGTACCATGTGCGGATGCATCATGGCACGAATACGAATGGCCGGAACGACGACCGGAGGTGCGTAAGATAGGAATTCGCATTCCTGGCCATATTCGGCCCCCGCTCGCGTCGCCTTCTAACTCTTTCGGGATGTCGCGACTACCGAGACATGTCACACAGTATATTTACATTCGCGCGATGCGCTTTCAGTTGTTAAACTACTAAGTTACGCGTGGATCTTTGCGCAGAATATTGAAACACGAACACATTGGAACCAACATATGTCGGCTGGTCAAGATAGATCAGCGAAGTCAAAGAAGTTTAAATTTAGATCAATATTTTTCTCATTGCGATATCTTGCGTAAAAAAAAAAAAGAAACCTTCTCCACATATCACAGACGATAAAGTTAAGCATTGTCCACTTACCTTGGATATCGCAGCTCCTAAACCAGCTTGACAAGAACCCTGCCTGTGATAGCCCCAATACCCTAAAACGGAAACAGACAATTATATCGTCCCATCCTTGATTGTTTCAAACAGACATCATATCTCGACAGTATAATTTGAATAAATTGTTTCCTATTGCGTAATTTATACGAGATACATATATAAATCGTAGATAATTTTTAAATAATTGATTAAAGGTCAAAAATTGAAATAGTAATATAATATATAGCAGTTTTTTTCCTATGTTAAAAATTAATTCTCCGTCAGCAATGTAGGACTTCCTCATGAGAACTTGTGAAAACAAGAGCTATATAAATTACTTGTAATTTTATATGCCAAACGCGAATTTTTAAAATTTATCAATTATGCTATCAATATTCTACGAACTAAAGACATTTGACATATAAAATTAAAAATAAGTTATAAAACTTTTGTAATTGATGCTTGTATGGTCAAGTACCCTAAAATATGTACAATATATAAAATAATAACACAATTACTATTTTACGGTCTAAATTTTTTAATAATCATTCAATAAAATTTAATTTATTTAATCAACAAGATTTATATACGTGTTTTATAGATCTGTACCTTAATATAAAAGATAATGAAGCTAAAGTTTACTTTTATTTATATTTTTTAAATTAAAGGATAGATTCAAACATCAAAAGATCCTGTAAACATATTAAACAGACGTGTGCACGCATTCTTGGAATTTCATGTACTTTAGCGACTAGGAAGTGGAGTGGCATCGCAGACCGGCTACACGCACGAGCAAAAGTAGTGCGTACATACACGCGTCATTAAACCCAGATCGATCTTCCGCCGTGACGCCTTCACGATCCGTTTTCTCCGTTCGAATCACCATGACGAGTCGATAGTGCACATTTTACATCAGCAATCATGAACAGCGTGGTTTGGGAAATGGTTACCGAGTTCCTACGCTCGTTAACTAGATAACGCAACAGCACTTTTAGATAGGAACTTTTAAACGGACGGTAATAACAGCAGGTCGACGGCAATTCCACCGAAATTCTTTCGATTTGAGATCGTAAAAGGGCTCCGCGTGTTTTTGTTTTACTATTTATTTTATCGTATGTTAAAACGAAATCGATTAATTGCTGCACGATAACGCGAAGAACTTTGCTAAAAGGAATTCCATGCTAGACGAAGCAACGTGTTAATTATAAGCGCAGAGTGTAACGCAAGCTCATAAAATCAAAAGGAAAATCAATTTATCCTAATTAAATACTTTGATTAAATACTAAAAAGATTTGATTGTTTCTTAAAAACTGGATATAAATGACAGAAAATTATACCGAATAATACAATTGAGTCATTTCAATGGAAATGCAATTATCAGAGCAAAGAGAAATGATATTTAAGCATCTTTGTGATTATACTCTTGAAGGATAAAATCTTATCATAACAATATCCACATATTCGTAACTAATCGCTATCACTAACTGAAAATCTTATCTATTGTAATATCACTAATTGAAAATCATACCTGAAAATCATATTGTGATATCAACATATGTAACAAATGACAAGAATCAAAAGATAATGGATCAATCCCCTCGCCATAATTACGATATTCTTACGATTAATTATTGTCATTATTATTATCGATGAGGGTAAATCATCGCTAACTCGAAGATAAATCTAGGCAATTACCAGGAGGATATAAATCTGTGGACATCTCGACCTAACGAGGAACAGTGTTATACGGAAGCAACGAATCATCTGGAACCACTGGAAAGGATTATTTAACTCCTAAGGAAACTGATTAACAGTATATGTATCTTAATTAACTTTATCCATTTTTACAGCCAGCTCGATACTATGCAAAGCGAATAGATGCAAAGAATTTGCGGATGCCGGCTGTTAACGCGTCGATCAGTTCCGTAATTAGTTGCCGATGCTAACTACAAGTAGAAAATTATCGGGCCAGAACTGACTGACAGTTAGGGTCAGTGCCATTCAGACTCGGCTGCTGCGGCGAAGCGCAGCACGTCCGCAAGAAAATGCGTGCGTGCGTGCGTGTATATGTATGCGAATATCCGGTGGCTCGACCCGCAGAATCCGACCTTCTTCTACATATGTACACGTATGTGCGTTATGAGTGCAACAGCAGCAGCAGCAGCAGCAGCAGCAGCAATCGAGTCTCTTGATAGTCGATCGGTCACTTTAGACGAGCTGTCAGTCATGCAATTACATCAATCCGGTCGCGGTCATCTTCGTCGTCGCCGTCGTTGTTGACAACGAAAAAGTAGATGTAAAGCGAGCGATCGGCGCCACTCATCGGTGACACGCATGTTGCTTCTAAAACAATGGTGGAGCTCAACTTACAAGCCGATGAAAGTTTTAAATCCGACTGTCAAAAAGGATATAAGTCTCGCAAGAATAATTTCAGAGATATCCACAATCTTAACTAATCCTTTCGATTAGGTAATCTATTTTAGATAATCTATATTCTGACAGAAATTACCGATACCAATAGAACTCGCATTTTTCGTTCAATTAGGATCGTACTGGGTTATCGGTTGCTTTTAATTCGTGATGGTGCTAATTGGATCGTTGAAAGTTATTATCAGCGAATCGCAATAATAGTATCATCTGTGAAGTAACAACGAATGTGCGTCCGACCGCGAGATCGTCAGTGGTCGATCTATTTATAATCAGTCTCATCCTCGAGCTTTGCAAGGGTGCTATTCTCGTCAGTAAGAGGCCACTCTGCTTTCAAACTCGAGTCGACATCGAATATAAAAAGAGAGAAAGAGAAAAAACTTTTCCCATATATCAAGGAAATATTTTTTTTTTCGAAGAGCCTCAGAATGGCTGCGGTCGATTTGGACGTTCACGCGCTTTAAGTGCTTGTAATCATCATTCTGTCCTTATCGTTCATTAAGACTGACGTAAAATAAGAATAGAAGTATTGAAAAGCCCAAATCGACCGCAGCCAATGTATCACGAAATAATCCTAAATGTATGTATAAGACGTATGTATAAGAGTATCTTTTTTATGTGCGTTTGCTTTAGACGTAATAGCCAGACGCTAATTTAATAAACGAAACGGCGAAAGATTTTAAACTAAAGATGATTTTGGCCGTGAATGATTTTGACGATGAAGCGTCTAATAAAGAAATCGGAGCGTTACAGGAGACGAGCCCAAGTTGTATGACTGACTCTTAATCGAGTTACGAGGAATGAATGGAGCTACTGTAATTCTTGTTGAACACACGTGCGTGTGTGCATGATTATGTGTCTGCAATATGCATTATCAGGTCATTTCTTTTATTCAGAAATGGGACGACATCGCGATCGTAATGAAAATATGTATTCTTATTCATTTCTACTATTTTTGAATCAAAACTTACGTCAATTAAAAAATTAGATTTTATCAATTAAGGTTAATTTCTTTCAATCAAGGAACTAGAATTTTTCACTTCTTTCGATTAACCTTAGTTCACTTAAATGTTCGATATAATTTCTTACATTTTATAATACAAATCTTATATAATTAAATGTTGCGTGATGTTGAAAATTTTTTTCAAGAAGATAATTCAAGGGAAAATCTTTCTCTTCAAAAATCGGATGATTCATTCTTTCTTCTAATACGAGATGGAATACATTCAATATATAATTACATATCTAAAAAAATATTCTAATGAAACTGCAATAATGAGAGAGAAGGAATATTCTGTCGCTCGCTAGAGATCGGTAGCTCGATCGTAATTCAAGTAGGATTAAGTGCTAATTGGCCTCGTTAGAACGGTGCCGAGTTAGCGCCTTGGTCCGAGAGGCGCCTTCCAATTATTATTTTCTTTTTTTTTCGATCCTTTCCAACCACTCGAGCGAGTGGGCGCCTTTCATCGAGGAATGCACTTACTGTAATTCTCCATTGCTATCTTTCTTTTGTTAATTGCGCATGTGAAAAATGTTTTCCTCATCTCGGCTTGCTCTTTTTATTTCGAGACTATTAAATGTAGCAATAAGATAAAATATATTTCTTATTAGATAATAAGATAATTATGAGAAATAGCCAATAAAAAAGCAACTAATGTTACAAAATGAATTATAAAACGTGAATTCTACTTTACGAAACATTTCTTTTTAATTAATGTTATGATATAATAGAAAATGTGGATTTAAAATTACATTTTGTTCACCGTTAGGCAAAAGTCGAGCTCCAAAACAAAATTAAACCGTCGTTTTATAAAATGTAAGCAGAATATGGATAATGTGACACTCGACTTAATTTCCGCATAATTGCATTTCGCGAAAATTATTCAAGAAATCTGCTTACAATCGACCGCGTAATTAATTTTTCTTAACTTGTCGGAATTGCCAGTATTATGTAAGAGATAGGGAATAAGAAGCGGTTTCGAAATTTTTTGGTCTTAAAGATTTTTTATATTTCAAAGCGCAATAATTTTTATATTTTAAAAAGAATTCATTATTAAAACAGTCCTTTCATGTGTACATTCTTTAACTATATATATTATATTAGGTGTTGGAATTAATTCGTAGCGTTTTTAATGAAAGAATGTTATTTATTTCACATGAGCATTAAAAAATACATTAATGAAAGTACTTCCCATCACTTGTAAAACGCTACGAATTAATTCCAACACCTAATACATAGTCGTGCCATAAATTCTGTTATTAATTAGAAAAAATGTTTTAAATATTAATAAAAGTTGAATGATTTCATGAGTACTTTACACCATAACATTTTTTTTATATTAAATTAAAAAAATATTTTTTAATTATAATTATAAAATACTCTTAAACCCATTCAACTTTTATTTAAAATATTTTTTTTATCTCTCATAGTTTCAACGATATTCATTAAAAAAAAAATCGTCTTTTTTCAAGGAAGGTTTTCACTCTCTCAACGTGCGACTTAACATATATAAAAAAAATGTATCTCTTATTTTTGTTTAAATTTTAACATATCCTAAGCTTTTTAAAATCGGAGAGATTCAATTGGTTGTGTTCCCTTGTAAGAAAAATTAATTCATTTCATAGCTAAAAT